TTCTCCTTCTCCTTCTCCTTCTTCTTCTTCTTCTTCTTCTTCTTCTTCTTCTTCTTCTTCTTCTTCTTCTTCTTCTTCTTCTTCTTCTTCCTTTTTTTCCTTCTTGCCAGTCCTGGGCTTGAACTCTGGGCCTTGGCACTGTCCCTGAGCTTCTTTTGCTCAAGGCTAGCACTCTACTACTTGAGCCACAACACCACTTCAAGCTTTTTTGTGTGTGTATGTAGTACTGAGGAATTGAGTCCAGGACTTCATGCATGCGAGGCAAGCACTCTGCCATTAAGCCACATTCCCAGTCCTGAAAATTTCTTTCTGATGGGGTTTGGAAGTCCGGATGGAACAAAGTACTCATAGGATCCTTCTGTATATCCATGGCACAGAGGGTAAACTCAAAATTTTTGTGAAGATACATTTCTAAGTGTTAAAACTCTAGTAAGAGCATGTATGTGAGAGAATGAAAAAGATGTGGGGTATTGTTGTGTTAGGTTAAGTTACATTCAATAGCAACTAGGCCTTTCAGTTTTTTTCTTCTCTACGGAAAGCATCCATTTTTTATTTTGCTCTTCCCTGCAATTTTATTAATGATGCATAAATGGCTAATAGACAGACATCACCAACTTAACTGACCTATCTTTACTATCCTGAGTATCCTACAGTATCCAGTTTACCCAACAATTGCTCATAAGGTAGTTGAAAAGTATCTTAATGGACCAAGTTTATACAATAAATAAATACAACTTACATAATCAGCCATTATATCTTCTTAAATAAAACAAACAAAAAATTAAAACAATGTCATGTTTTCTCCAACATTTAAAACATTTACCCAAATTTCTGATTGGGAATAGAAGAGACTAACAAGAAATATGAGATAAAATTATCTGTGAAACTGTCCATCATTGTTTATTGAACAGTAGTGTCTTTGAGTGGATTAAAAAGGACCAGTCTTTTCCTTCTTTTTTCTTTTTTGTCCTTCAGCAAAGAGGAGAAGCCTCAGTATTCTTCATAGGTGTCCCTTCCTCTTCCCAGTTACTCCTATTTCTCTTCATCCATATATGGCTTAAGTCCTACAGTAGCCTTTTCAACCTATCCTATCCTCTCACAGAAATCTACTCAGCTGGGGAACTTCTCCAAATGTGGGGGAAGGATGCTATATCATGCTGACAATGTTGCAGGGTGTCTGGCACCGCCACTGGGCTCTCTCAGCACTGGCTTAGATTGTTTCTCCATTTGTAGCAATAAATGCAGAGGAATCTAATACTTACCCAGTCTTCCCATATACCTTCTGGATTTTTCTTAATGATGGGCTCAAGGCGTTTCAATAGGATCTGACAAGCATTCTTGAAGACATGGAAAATACACATTAGAAAAGATCTTAGTGATTAGCATTTGTGTGAAAGTATATTCCCTGTGCTTGTGGGGTACCTGTTCCTGATAGTTGGGAACACAGAGATAATACAGTTCCTGCCCTTGAGAATAATACGGGCCCCCAGTGATTAGGAGGGCTAACCCCTGATGGGAACCCGTTTTGTTCTCATAATGCCATGTTCTTCAATGGCCCACCCTCCGCCTGAGAACCCTCTTGGTTCTCAGGAAAACTTCACCCCTGACCTGCAAATGGACTGCCGGCATCAGGATATCGCTACCATAAAACCTGTCGAACAGCATAGTGCGGACAATAAACCCCCAACAGGACAGGACAAAGTAACTCCAAAGAAGAGTCTCACCCTAGAATGTATAAAAACTTACTGCCCTCCCCACCTCTCTGTCTCCCTGACCCTGCTGGGGATTGCATGGAGTCCCTCTGCAGCCATGATCAAAGCCTGTTCTGGTCTGCCGAGTCTCTGCCTTCTTTCTGCCTTCTGCTTGCTCTTTCTTACCACTCAGGACTCAGTTTCCCCCAACTTCCTGGTTCACTTCCTTTGAAAATATTGTTGAGCTGAGTTTCTACTTTTGGACATTTTGTATGTGTGTAATGTTTCAAGACTTTAATCCTCTCCTCTCCTTTTTTTAAAAAAAATTTATTGTCAAGGTGATGTACTGATGTACAGAGGGGTTATAGTTATGTAAGTAAGGTAATAAGTACATTTCTTGTCTAACTTGTTACCTCTTCCCTCATTTTTCTCCCCTTTTCCTTCCTCTCCATTCCCCTTCCCCAAGGTTGTACAGATCATTTCCAACATATTGTCTTGCTGTTGCATAGGTTCCCCCTTTGTCCTTTGTCTCACCATTTCGGGTTTTTTGTTGTTGTTGTTAGTCATGGGGCTTGAACTCTGGGCCTGGGCTCTGTCCCTCAGCTCTTCAGCTCAAGGCTAGCACTCCACCACTTGAGCCACAGACCACTTCTGGCTTTTTCTGTTTATGTGGTGCTGAGGAATGGAACCCAGGGCCTCATGCATGAAGGCAAGCACTCTACCACTGAGCTACCTTCCCAGTCCCAATGTCTCACCATTTTTTTTTTTTTGGTGCCAGTCCTGGGGCTTGAACTTAGGGCTTAGGTGCTGTCCCTGAGCTCTTTATATTCAAGGTTGGCATTCTACCACTTGAGCTACAACCTCTACTTCTGGCTTTTTAGTGGTTAATTGGAATAAGAGTCTCACAGACTTTCCTGCCCAGGCTGGCTTCAGACCATGTTCCTCAGATACCAGTCTTGAGTAGCTAGGATTACAGGTGTGAGCTACCAATACTGGCTTAATTCCTTCTTTTCCTTATCCATCTCTGAACTATGCTTCTTTTGGCATTTTCCAGCCATGAAAACGAATGGAACATTCCATTTCTATTAAAAGTTGTGCTTTCTAGGCTGTAACAATGGCACTCCGTATCCCTCTGGATATGAAACATTCACTCTATCTCTTCCTCCATCTGTTTATCCATTCTCTCTCATACACTACATCGACAGCTTGGCTTTGGGTTCCTAATAAGAAAATAAGAAAATTTGTTTTATAATAATCTAGGCGCAGGCTGGGAAGGTGGCTCAGTGGTAGAGTGCTTGCCTTGCATGCCTGAGGCCCTGGGTTCGATTCCTCAGCACCACATAAGCAAAAAGAAAAAAGCTG